TTCGGTCGTCTCTCTGTTTCCAACCTGTAAACAAATCTGTTAGTAATTAAGATAGTTCTGGAACATCTTTGTTTGGCCAGCTAGTTGTTTGCACCTCTAGTGTTGCTAATAAGCCATCTGCTGCCCTTGGGCTCCCATGGTCCATCAAACCAAATGAATTGCCAGCGCCTGGAGATGAAGTTCCAATTTAATTTGCGGTCCGTTCGAGTGCATCGCTGTCCACTTTTCGACTGCAGTGACCGCCCAAGGGTTAAGGTCGGGCTTTATCCATCACAGAGTGTAGGTGCGTGTGTTTGTGTGTGGCCACACTCACACCAGCATTTCCGTACTTCCGCTTGAAGCGGCAACGTCAAAGGAAAAACCAACTAAACGCACCGCCGGCAATGAAACGGAACGGAATGGAACGGATCCGTCAGCGGAACGGAACGGAAGGGCAGGGCGGGGGGAAACGGAAAGGAGCTGGATTTCCGCGAAAAGGAAAACTATGCACACCAATACTTATACAAATATATATATACATATATATATATCGGGGAAATAACGAAGCAGCCCAGCGTGGAAATCAATAAAAAAAAAGAAAAATAAGAAATAGAGAGACAGGAAAATGGGAAACCCATGATAGAGCGATTGAATGCGGCGCCGTAAAACCTTTTAGTTATATTAATTTCAAATCACACCCCACTCGCGAAAGGCGTGAACCGAAAATGCCGTAAAAGTTTTATGAGTTTCGAACCAGCGGGCTTTTTTCTTCTTCTCATTATTTCTTTTGGCCCAATTTTCCCGATGGCAGATGAAAATTTACAAGAATTGCAGACCTTGAACCTGCCGCATTCGCAATCGCAAGCAATTCGATGGCCAAATTGATCTTGTCGCATAATTCTCAGCAAATTGCCACAGCGATTTGTCTTGTTGCCAATTAGCCGCCGTTTCCTGACGTCGGGAGGGGCGGTGGAAAATGAGGTGGAAAATGAGGTGGGCCAAGTGGGTGGGTTGATGGAAAAGCCGGGGAAAGCACGGAAATGCCATGGCAATGGCGATGCTGCTCTTGGGTCGCAGGCCAATGGCAATTGCCGTTGGCGTTTTTAATTAGAAAATGCGCAGTGTCTGCTCCCACCCACCGCCCCCTTTTCCCTCCATTTTTCCACCCACATCCTGCTCATCCTCACCCACACACATTCAATTCGCCGTGTCTGTCTCTCATTCGGTTTGGCAAGGTGTAAAAACTAATTACATTAAAACTGCCACGAATTCAATTGCATTGCCTGCAATTGCAATGTGCAATGTGCAAGTGCAAGTGTAAATGTGAATCTGAATCTGAATCTGAGTGTGCATGTGCATGTGCATGTCCTTGTGTGTCCGTGTGCCTGTCAGCGTCTATGTGTGAGTGCGAGCGGCAAAATGTGTTGCATACTTTTTTGGGCACGGGCCTTAATCAATTCCGAATGCCTGCCAATTACAAGAGCAACAGCATCCGAAATGCAATGTGATCCGCTCGCTAATGATCGCTCTCGGAAATATTCCCTATTTATAAGGTTTGAGGGTATTAGAATTTCATATATTTTTAGGGTGTATTTTTAATGGATTTACTAAGGGACACATATGATTTTACTAAAAAATGTCCTTATTTATCTGAAATTATGGTTAAATAAAATTCATAATTTTATCTTTTAAGCATTGTATTATAAACAAATGATTTATTTTCATCTTGAAAATTAGTATTAAGGCTAACTATGGCATGACCTTTAAGATTTCTCCTATAACAAAATAATGAAAGATATGATCCCTTTTCAAAGGAATTTATTTAAAAGCTTGAGAACTAAACTAAGTTAATTTAAATTCTGAAAAATCCTGGCAGAGCTAAGAGTGAAATATAGCAACACCTCATGGTTTTGCCATCTTATTTCTGTCAAATTAAAATTGTAATATCTGGCAAAAAATCCAGGGTAATGCAGAAATCGGATTGGGTAAAACCGCAGCTTGTTTTCGCCATTGTTATTGTTAGTTGGCCCCGATGCTTTTGTTGGGCTGCCTTTGCATTCGATTGCAATGTCAAGTGATTGGCTTCCAGTGCGTTGACGAGTGCGGGGGGCACTGTGGGGTTAAGACCCCCAGCTGCCTGACTCCCTTAACCAATTTCCATTGCCACTTTCCCCAAATGCCGACGACTGCTGACTGACTTTGATTGAAATGCTTTTAATAATGCAGCGAGACATTTGAATTGAATTAGCGGCGAAAGCGATTTTATGGATTAGATGGCAAAAACTTGAAATCGATGCGAATGCGTGGCGGCTGGAAAAGCTTCAAATTATACGGGGTAAAATGAAAACTGTGTAATGCCTGGCTTAGCGGCATTAATATGTTATCGCGTCGCATTTAATACCACAAAGGACCTGTGTGCGGGTGTGTGTGTGTCAAATGCGTTCAAAATACCTATGTATATACTCATATTTTATTCCTGGAATTTATGCCTGCTTGTGGATAGACTGATTCGCCATTCATGGATTCGCTTTCATTTGTATGCAAATGAGGTGGAAATCTAATTACCGCAAAACAAAGGACCAAATCCGTTGTCTGTCGCGAATCAAGTAAGAAAAACTGTTTATGCCTTGTGTTATGTAAGGCGATTACATTATGTGCAAGGACCTTCCCACACACACACACACGCACACACAAGACGGCAATTTGTAATGCGCCAATAAGAATTTATATCAACGCCGGCTGCCAAGCAGAAACCAGAGAAACTCAGCCACGACTCCCGACGAAATCCGAGGACTCCTCGTGGTCGAAGGCTCCTGCTCCTTGCTCCTTGCTCCTTGCAACCCCCCCCCCCCCTTGCTCCTTGCTCCTCCGCCACTGATAAGAAAACCCGTCCTGGAACAGGACAAAAACACAAAAAACAGGCAACGCACGTAACGTTTCGCTGATTGCCAGCAGCAAGGACTAAAAAAAAAGTGGAAAAAAATACGAAAAAAGGACGAAACCATAACCCAGGACAATCGCAACAACAACAACAACATCAGCACGTGGCTGGCAAGCGTTGTAATTCGCCGGATCCGCGGCACTCGTCGCCCCAAAGTCGCGCAGGCGTCGGCAGCGACGCAAGGACCTCGTGTCCTGCCACGAAGTTGGCGCCCGAAACGGGGTTTTAGAAGAGTTTTCCGTATAAGAGTGGGGCTGCCCAGTGGGAACAGCTGTGTTTCGAGTGGGAACAGTAAGGAAAAGGGGTTCTTCTGTGCATTAACATGAGTATTAAACGTTTTTTTTTAAAGAATTTATACCATAATAACTATTAAAAAATTTACAAAAATTTTAAAAAACAATTTTTTGAAGGAAAATATTTATGTTTTCCGTTAATAAGGTTATACTTGTCACGGTAAACAAAAATTAAAAGTCTTATTGTCAAAAAAATATGTTCAAAATAAATAGCAAGGTCAAATATTTTTGTTTTCGGTTCATAATGTTCTAATAACAATAAGGTATTTTAAAGTATAAAATGTTTAAAAAACTAAACGGTTACAAATATTTTAAAACTATATTTAATTTTTTTTTGGGGAAGTTAAAGGAGCCTTAATGTCACACTTGGCAGCACAAGGAATTATTTAAAAAAAATATTATCCCATTAATAACTATTTCAATTTTACAGAGATTTGATGGCTTAACCTCTACACATGTGAAATATTAGTATTATATATTTATATTTGTATATATATTTTTGTATTTTTATTATATTATCAATATTTATGCAAGGCCAGTACTAATATGGCAAGTTATAGTAACAGTCATTGGCTATAAGCGTAGAATATGTAGTTATCCAAAATTGTAAAATTGGAAAATTGTATTTAAAAAAAAAACAACTAAAATCCATTCTTTAAGAAATGCATAATATATTTTTAAAAGTTTTTATGGCTTATCCCTATTCATATTATTCGTTTAAGATTGTTCTTAATGTTTTCTTTTAACATGAAACAGCTTTTAAAAATGTTATTGAAAGAAAAAACCACTAAAATGCATTCTTTAAGAAGTGCATTATACATTCTTAATAGTTATTAAGGCTTAGCCCATTTTCCTTTGAGATTGTTCTTAATATTTTCTTTTGAAACAAAATAGCTTTTGAAAATGTTAGCGAAAAAAAATCAATTAAAATCCATTCTTTAAGATATGCATAGCAAATTTTTAGAAGTTAATAGGGCTTTTGCCATTTCCCTTTGAGATTGTTCTCAGTTTTGTTGATTTCCCAACGTTTATAAGAAGGATTTCGCTTCCTTTCGATCCCAGTATTTCGAATGACAGCTCTTCGTGTGGCGGTTACTCGGGGTCCCTCGTCTCCGCTCGTCCTTTTTCGTCCTGCGACGAACATCCCGTCGGTGTTGCTGCCGTCGCCGCTGCTGTTGCTGCTGCTACTATTGCTGTTGCTGTTGCTGTTGCCGCCGCTGCTGCTGCTGCTGCTGCGCGCCTGCCGAGAAGTCCGTTGCATATCCTTTGGCGCTGATGCCACTGACAGCGCCGTTCAGTTTCGATTCGCATGCAGAGACAGACGGACGCGTCCTTTCGTCCTTTCACCGCCAACTAGTTTTCTTTCGAAAAAGCGCGAAAACTGAAATATTTGAAAAGAGAGGTGCCCCCCCCACAAAACAAAAAGAAATACTATTTTTTTCGAGTGTGCAGTGCGAAAAGAGAGGGGGCGAAAGACGGGGCAGACAGGCTGAAAGGAGAAAGCAGAAAGCAGAAGGCGGAAATGAAACCAGCAAGTTGTGTGCATATCGGAGAAAGTAACGGAAATTAAAATTTGCATATATGCAAGAGGCGGCGGGCGGCGGTGGGCGGTGAACGGTGAGCGATGAAGATGGAAATTAAGATGAAAGCGAGCCCGAAACTGACCGAAACCGAATCAGAATCAGAGACAGAAACAGCAACAGCAACCCCGACTTAAAACCAAATCCAAAGACTCAAGTGCCAGATCTAACAAGCCAGACTCAGACTCACTCGTGCGCAATCCAACCCACCAGCAAAGAAAAAAAAAAAAGAAATCCCAGGAGCCAGAGTCCTGCTGCAGTTGCAGATCCACAGATAGTCCCATCCAATCCAATAGTCCAGCCACATAGAAATGCCGTCGCCAGGACACCACACATCATTCTGCTGCTCCACGGCAGGATTTATCGCTTGCTCAGCAATCGTTCTGCTGTGCAGTTCCGGTAAGTGAAATATGCCCCCAACAAAAGGGATTCGAAGCTCAGGACTCCGAGTCTCAGGATCCGGGAATCGAGTATCCTTTACCCTACTGCCTTACCATTTCTTTTTTTTTTCTCTTGACCAACAAATTTGATTTTGCCTGCTTCTGGTTTATTGTTGACGTTGCATCTTGCAATGGAAACGTCATCGAATGTAAAATGTTTTGCGAGACAAGTTTAAAAGGATTTTGGCAGTGGCACACAGATACACTCACACAGATATAGTGATTCCTAGAGGAATCCTACGAGCAGCACCGCAACAAAAACGCACCGACACTTGCCACAAACAGAGTGAAAGGAGCAGAAAAGCAGGGGCATGGGGCAGTGGCATTGAAGGACGAGAGTCCTGGCGAAAACACAGCCAAGGTCTGGACAAAGGACACTCACACACACACACACACTCAGACACAAGGACGCGTGTGACAGGATGTTCTCGGACAACTTCAGCTGAGTTAATGCATTTTGTTGCACACACAAAAATGCCACAAAAAAAAATTCCTAAATATATTTGCACAAAAATGTGCTGAAAACAGCTTGGGGCGACCCCAAACCACCGCCTTAACCCCTATGTTGCCACGAGGAAACAAATTAACGCTCAAGTAGCCAAACCTCAACCTCAGACCAAAATGGGGTTTCCTTTGTGCTAATCTAATATCTCATGTTTTGGACTCTGTATGTCACTAAAAGCATCCAGGGTCCTTTTCTAAGATAAGATATCTAAGATATAATAATAAATTTTGCACTCAAAAATGCAGTTGAAAGAAAGGAGATATTTTAGAAATCTAAATAACCAAAAGAAAATGTTCAAAATTTTATAAAGTTTCAAATATCTTCAAAGGATCAAGCTTTTCTTTTTAAGCCATTTAAAATTTGCGTTTCCTCATAAAGAAAGGTGGTTAAAAAAATTATTCTAAACTAAAAAAAACTACTAACGAATAAAATATAAATTAAATTAAGGCAAGGATCAAGCTCTTTTTTACAGACAAATCAAAATGTTCACTTAAAAATATATAATATAATTTTTTTTTAATTAAACCAAATACTTAAACATTTTATTTGCCCAATGAAGTATATGGTAAATCAATTCCCCTCAAAAGTAGCCGCTTTAAAAACCATTTACTTCCATTTTAAGCTGCAACTTTATCCTAAATCTCAAATCAAGCTGATTTAATTCCATGAATTTTGCACAGTTTTTCCTGCCACGGCCTACAGATTTCGCTTGTCGTTTTGCACTGCAGCTTTGCAGTTGATGGGTACAATATATATTTATATTTAAATTTTATATTCATAATGTTTTTACACATTGAACAGCGCATTAGTGATAAAAACCGCAGACAGATCGGTTTTTGGTACAGGGGCTTTTTTGGATTCGGGGAATCTACGAGGTTGGCTGGTCAGATGGTCAGGTGGTCAGGAGTCCAGGGGACAGGACACAGGACACAGGACACTCTGGCGTTTGTTATAAAAATTGCAGCATAAACAAGTGCAAATAAAAATAAGCGAAACACAAACAACAACAGTGGCAGTGCGGTCAGACAACAACAACAACTGAAATTGCATAAACTGCAAAGTGCAAAACTGAAAAACGAGTGAAGCGAATAAAGAGTGGTGTGAAAAGCGGGGCACTGGCGACAAAACATCGCCAGTCATAAATATGAAAATATTTAACAGTGGGCTATACGCAAAAAAGCGAACCTCAAATGCTCTTTTCATTGCGAAAATATTGGGATTGTGAGCTAAAATTCTATATGATTAAAAACTCAAAAAAAAAAACCTTAGCAAAAAATATTATATTCATTTTCCGAACAAAAACAGAAAGAAATATATTTTAAATTTATAAAGACTTAAATAAATATATATATATATATATTGCGATATAATACATTAAGTTAACTGATCTATCTTTTAAATATTTTAATGGTTTTGAAACTAATTCATGACATACAAATTGGCCAAATTTATTATTTAACAAAGACTTCGAATGCCTAAAACTATATTTGAAAACTAGGGTTTAATAATTTAAATAAAATAATTAAGCGATAAAATTCAAAGTAAAAGTCTATGGATTTTCCCAAATTCCGTGAATTTCCCTTGAGCCTGGCCAAAAATAGAGTGCCGAATTTAAGCGATGGGCCAGCCAAAAAATGCTTTTACCAAATCAGGTCACTTTAAATCTAAAAGTCGACTAATCATATGAATGTGGCCAAAACACCCTGATAATAATCGAAAGGCCTTTCCATGGAAGGCAGGCCATAAAAAATAAGGCAGGGAAGCCCAGGAAAAGCGAGAAAAGCGGGAAAAGGAAAAACGGAAAACATTTTGTGGGGCGTAACAAAAGCGAACTATATGGCAGAAATGCATGCAGGACAATCAACTCTCCACACACACACACTCTAACATACACACACACCGTCTCACTCGCAGGACTCGACATTGTGTGTGTGTGGTTTATGATACCATTTAGCCAGAGGGTTGTTTTGACAAATTGTGCAAATTATTGTGTTAAATTTGCCCTTGAGGTGAAAAATCACTTTGACATGGCCAGCCAAGAGGCAGTGCTTTTCCTTTTCGCTCTACTCATTTTTTATATTCCACCAGCTTTCCCACTTTTCCGCTTTCCCAAGAAGTGCTTAGCTGATTGTGCCTTTGTCTGTCGTATTACAGACGCCAATACATATGTCAGCCGGCGGGCAATACGCCTCGTTTGACCACCGATCAAGTTTAAGTGGCTGCCCCAATCTGCTGCAAGTGCTTCGAACCACAGCTGCGGTCAAGATAATAGCACCGAAGGTGTTTAACAAAGGGGTTGAACGAGGCATATGTGTTCAATACTTAAGCGGCCATTAGTGGAAAACCATTATTTTATAAATATTTATTTGTTTGTTAATCCTTTAAGCACAAAGAAAATCTGTTTTGTTTAGTTTTAGAATAACATAACTTTTTTCTTATCTCTACTGATATAAGTATTGGTACCATTTTACCAACGAGCTGGTACATTTTAGATTTCAGTAGTTTTAGAACCGATTTCTAGTTCACAGGTTAAACTAAAAATATGTCTTAAAATCTGAAGGCCATTTTCTCATCCTCCCGTTAAACTTAAAGTATGTTTTAAAACACAAAGACCGTTTTCTCATCCTTAGGTTAAACTAAGAGTGTGTTTTAAAACCCAAAGACCGTTTTCTTGTCCTCTTGTTAAACTTAAAGTAGGTTTTAAGACCCAAGGACCGTTTTATGATCCTCATGATAAACTAAGAGCTAGTTTGAAAATTTAGAAACCGTTTTCTGTTCGTCAGGTTAAACTAAAAGTAGGTTTAAAAATCTGAATACCGTTTCCTCGTCCTCATGATAAACTAAAAGTAGGGCTTAAAAGAACGAATTCTAGTCGTTTTGTTAAACTAAGAGTGGGTTTTAAGACCCAAAAACCGCTTTTTCACCCACATGATAAATTAAAAGTAGGTTTTAAAATCTAAGGACCATTTTCTCATCGTCATGGTAAAAAAGGCAGGCCTTAACATCTAAAGACCGCTTTCTTTTCCTCTTGTTAAACTAAAAAGGGTTTTTATCGAAATCGAAATTTCCATAAATGGTTCTTGTTTTAAAACCTACTTTTAACGTTAAAGAGTGTTACAAAAGTGCCAGCACTTTGACCGCAGCTATATGCTGGTAGTATGCAGTAGTTTTGGCCTTTTTAAGGCCAATGCCACTAATTGAGACGGCGCAGATACCCGTAGATGAAGTTGCCGAGCTGGAAAAAGTTTTCAAAAAACGATTTCGCATGCAGCGTTGACGTGACTCGCATTAGCCCCCCGAAAACTGCACACGTGTGTGTCTCCCCCCCTTTTTACCTGTGACCGCTCACCTTTGACCTCCAGCCACCCACTTTGCCTGCTGCACAGGAAAATGTACTGTTGCTTATTATCGAAATTGTATATGCCAAGCAGCGGCGGCCACAACTTCCTCTTGAGCCTTCTTCGGCGCTTTCTTTTAGCCACTTTTGTCAGGTGACTTTTCCCCTCCCATTTCCCATTTCCCTTTTCCCATTTCCCTTTTTTTTATAGAAGAGAGTGGGTAACTTCAGTTGGTGCAGTTGGTAGTGGGTAAGGTAAAAGTTTGTTGGCACCAACAAATTAAGATAGTTGGTTAGTTGCAAGCGGCAAATGTCTAGACGGTTTTTAGCCAAATTATGGTTTTCAAACGTTGTATTTGCTCGCCCTGGGCCACCAGAACCCCGATCCTTCCTGAACATGAGCTTTGGCTTACTATGTTGGCAATTACCCCAATGCACTAGGGAAAAAAACATGGCGATTTAGTAAAATACCCATGTTTGGAGAACCAAAGTACTCATTTTATAAAGCTACTGGTTGTCTGATGATAGAAATCACTAAGCAAATATCAGCTTATAAATGAACTGAAATATGTATTCTAAAATTTATGAATAGCAGTTTTCCAACTAAAATAAAATATTATATAATTATATAAAATATATTTTATATTTATGTTATATTGGTAGTTTTTAAAAATATTCTTTGGGGACTTACTATAAATATTTTCCCTAAAAAAACACTTGTTATCAGACTATAAATAAATAACATTCTTGGAAATTTTGTATACTCGTAAATATTTTCCCTTGCAAGTGTTTTGCTATCAGCCAATAAATTAAGTTAAATATGTTTTCTAAAATTAAAAAATATTAGATGACCAATCAAAATAAATTGATTATAAATCATAAAGAAATGTATTTTATATTTCCGTTGATGTTGGTAGTCTTAAAAAATATTCCTTGGTTATGTACTATAAATATTTACACTCAAAAACACTTGGCTTTAGTTTTTAACCAAAGAAAAGTAGCGGTTTCTTCAATACTTTTCAGGGTGGGCCCCTTTTGGTTTGACTTTTTTTTTGAAGCAGATCCTTTCCGATTGAAATTGCTTTTCAATCAACGTTTTCGGTAGCATTTAAACGCA